AAATGGGGCTCCCATTTACTGAAATACCATGAATTTCGATCCCCCATTCCAAACGTGAGTACTCCAGGCCATTTCCGTTACAATACAATATAGAACTGACTTTTTAATGTAACATATTTTACTTAAATAGTGGAACAAAACAGCATCGTTTTTTGGAAAACAAAAGTCGCAAGTCTCTTCTGCTACTTTTAAATATGCACAAAAACAATGGCACTTACACGTTACATACATAAACCACTACTTAATATAATTTACGCACAGAAGACATGGCATCGTTAAGAACTTACTTGTAGCTACTAATGCTATAAATCTATGCTTACTGACTGATTTTTTAAAGCTACTGGTAAAAGCTTGTTTTTCCGATCACATTTACTGATTTGGTAGTTTTGAATTTGATGGCGAATAGTTATGAATCACACTGAATCTACATTACATAAATTAAACAAATATTATTTAAATAAAACTAGCATCCCAGTGGTAATTCAGCTATGGAACCTACTGACCTTACGTATAAAATAGCTAAGAATAATCGACCAGTTCTTGTTCAAATCAATCGTCCTACCGATTATAACACACTACTTGTTGTAAATTATATAAATAATTATCGAGAAAACAAAATATGTATGTTCAAACAAAACCTGTCCTAGGAAGAATATATACAAAGTGTTTATGTGGATAAATACCATACGAGGTACGTCTTTATTTAGATGGTTGGATCTAGTTTTGTAATAAAAAATTAACAATTAAAATTATAATAAGCTGAGACAAAAGTAATCAATTTAGCAGAAAAAACAGTAGATTAATATTAATTTTGCCGGTTTCTGCGCCCTGTTTTTTAAATCCAAATTGGGGGTGATTTCTTACTAAAAAATGTGAAAAGAAATGCAAATATAATTTTTTCTTCTATCATCCGAATGAGAAAGGGGAAAATCACAATATATGTTTACTGAGTCATACTGAGCAAATTGCAGCAAATAAATAGCCCCTGCACAAAGGATGTTAAAGATAAACTTAAACATTACAAAGTTTGAAACAAACAGCTAATCTGTTTGCTTCAAACCTTAATAGTACCGATATTTTCTTTGGATTTCTTTGGTATATAATTAGTGGAAAATGTAACTTTTCAATGTATGATTAACTTCTTTTACCAATTTAGTTTGTTCTCTACAATTACAGATTTTAATATATTTTGATAATAAAATAAATCACCAATTTGTTAATGTGCGGCAACGAAAAGGAGCTCAACTACTCAACTCGATTCTATAAATTGATTCGCAATCTGTTGCGAAATTTCATCATTTTCGAACTGTCTAGTAAATTTACTTGAATATCCAAATGTTCGTTACTATGATTTACTCGAATTGGAAAAATATACTTGAATATTCGATGGTTTTGGAAAAGTTATTTCCTATATGGGTTGGAGTAATGGGAATCAGTAGCTTATTGTTTATTATAAATATAACTTGCAGGTACGAGTTATTCCTATTCGAGGGCTCTGGTACTTTCCACTATCCTGAGCACAATTCTGAATGATCGTCCCATGCTGCAACCTGTATAAAAACTTATATTATTTTAATTGATTTTGAGAAAACTAAGTGCATCTTCTCTTTTGTTGCAGGTTAGTTGGCTTTGATTACTACACAGTTCTTCATGCTAACGGCGAGTTTTTGCATATTTATTTTTGGTAGAACGGCAAAAAGCACGCTGTCTGAGCATAAAATGTTTTACGCACAATTTTGGATAATCGGCAAAAGCAGAAATTTTTCGGTGCGTCACACTTAAAATTTGTCAAATTGATTCTACTCTCTCAAATTCTACTAACTAAACAAACACGACTTTCTTTCCTTCAGAGCTTTGAAGACGAATTTTTAATTGTGATTAACGTACTAATTGCAAATTACTTACAAACATTTTCAACCGAATAGTAGATAAAACGTTTATAAACTATCACGTTTGAATGGCTTTGAATAATTGCCTTCCGTTCTTCCCAAAGTACATTTTGGAAAGACAACGTTGGTTTTTTCAAAGCTTTGAGGTCGCAGTTATAAATATTTGCATACCATACAGAGAGTAAAAAATAATTTTGAATAAAAATTTGAATAAAAATTCTTATTGCTAAAAGTGGGCCCTGGTTGATATTTGCATTTTATATAGAATATTCCTTTTAAATTGGTACAGCGTATACTCAATTATTCTGTAAAACTGCATAAACGCCTGGATCAAGTAAATAATGGGAAGCATAAAGTAGACATTTAAATTATGGTATTGAAGATTAGCTTAATCTTACCTGGCAATCGCGACTACAGTACCACTGATTTCCGCATCCAGCACAAACAAATTGGGCTGGTTGCTGATTACAACCTTGGCATTGTGGAACTTCTTCACCATCTTCTGATCTGTTATCTTCCTTGATTCGCGTGCTTGAGTTATCGAGGGCTTCGTCGATTACAAGCCGATCGGTTTGCTCATCTTCATCTATCTGTAAATAATATACAAGTTGTATTAAACAATATCCTCCGTAGGCAAATGTTATAATTGGAGGGGGACGTGTCAGTTGGATTCACAAGCCTGATCTAGTTAATATTACTGTCCTGCTACTCTCACGTAGAAAGTTGTGCATTAAGTAGATAGAAAAACGTTTAAATCACATCAGCCGCATGGCTCGAGAAAATGGTACCTACCAATTCTCTTTTTGTTTCCGTTTCAAACTGACCTCCCAATGGTGTAATTGTAATTTCATTTCGTACCTAAAATATTTCAACATTGATACTATTATGGCAGCTGGTTCGGTTGCTTCAGGTTTTCATGTACGGGTTATCATAATTTGTGGATTCAGTCGTTCGACAAGATATTCTTACCTTGCTTCCAGAAAAGATGTCCGAAATTGACATATTTGAGGCATTCAGTAAACTTCCTCCCAGCATATTGGAGGTTGAGGATTGGATTGCTGCTTTTTCTGGAGCGGTAAGCAACCGAGCCAAGGTGGGGCTGAATGACGATTTTCCATTAACTGGAGTATTGCTATTTCCATTTGAATGATTTTGCTTCACAGGCGCCTAGAATCAGTTAAGCCCAAACTTGCAGTTTTTGCAAAATAATCAATCTCGAGTTTGTAACTCTAATGGGAGTTCATTTTACCTTGGTTAAAATGCCATGTAGCAGAGAGTTGGAGGGCGTCACCGAACTAGTACTGGTAACTGGATGTACGGTTACCTCCGGATATGGCGGTGGAGGCTTTATGTTATGCATCTGATTTTGTAGTTCTGACTTTTCAGATTGCGACAGTTTGGCAAACTGAAGCAAAACATCTTTGTAAGATTTAATCTCATCACATTGTCGATAGCAGGAATTCAAGAGTGAGGAGCGCGAATCCTCTTGACTCTAAGAATATATTGATGTTGATAAGTTTCAGTTGGAGTGATTGATTTAAATTATCAAGCATAAAAGCTTTTCAAAAATGTTTGCAGGAAGGAAATGTTCCAAAAGTTCCATCCGTTTATAAAGAGTGTTTCGATCAATAACAGTATTTAATACACATCTTGATAAGCAAATGACGATGTACTCTTTAATCTAAAAATATAATTGGAAAAAACTTTCTGATAACGTGCCCAGTTTAACCTGCAGCAAGAAAAGGTCATTTTCCCAATTTAACCGACATTATAGTAACCTTAATGATAAAAAAAATGATTTGTAATGTGGCTATAAACATTGTGTAATCAACAAAGTCGCAAAAACATTGGCTTCCTTATGTTTTTCGGAAAATATACTTTAGTGGTTTGCATCTGATATCACTTCAACTTGATCTTTTGCTAAAATTTATTTCAGCACGTTACTTCTACCTGTAGGCCTTAAATGGTTTGAACTTTTTCTTTGATTGCTAATTGTAGGCAAAATATGGGCGGAGCTATAAATGAGCTCGGCCCCTTATTAGGTTCTCTGTTATTGTTTTGTCAGTGCAATTTATCAGCTTGACGTTTGGAAAGGAAATTTTATTTAAAAATATTGGGACTTACTCCATTTAATGAACCGGATAACCCTGATTCGTGGTTATCCATTCCTGATGATTGTCCAATAGTTAGACTACCACCTGAAAAGCCCAAAATACTGGTTTTACCGTGACTTTGTGAATTTCTTATTCGCCTACCTCTTCTGGGTACTGTTTCCGGGTGTCTTTGCCTAAAAATGTTAATTGATTAGCTTTAGAGTTTTATCTTTTGTTTTGCTTTAAATATTCCTATTTTTACCTCCATAGGATTTTTATTTATTTGTACCTGTAATCAGCTATAATAGACTGAACATCCAACATGGGTTTCTGTTTGTAAGTCGATTGCAACATGTTTCTTTGTTTGAGTTTTTCAATATTAGCTGCTCGGAGCTCTCTTAACATGTTTACTTTTTGATTGCACTTCAACAGACTTTGCTGTCCTGAAACAGTAGCATAAATTAGATTGTTAAATTATCGTCAACTTTAAAGAATGAATCTGGTATAAACAATTTGCAATTACCATTGTTTTCTGGTTGGAAGTCATTAAGATCGCTGTCGTTTATTATCAACACCTGTCTTTTTCGTTGCAGTCTTATCAGAAGCTCTTCTTTTAATTTTTTCATGTGTAGAAGTTGATTCCATTCTCTTTCCTGAAAAAAAACATTACTTGAAATAATTGGCAACTTGTCATTGTCATTGACATTTTATGTCTTGCTTTGTTTTCCTAATTTGCGCTAACTACCAGCTTTTTTGTGGAAAATGAACAGTATGTTTTGTTGTATCTTCAAGGCATTTATTTGCTTCGGTTTTATGTCAGAATCTTAATACTCCTGTTGAAATTTTTTAAATAACCATTAAGGATAACAATTAATTCCCGGTTAACTGGAGCTTTTCACGATCCCTCACAGACTTATAATCCTCTTAATATTTATTACTTACCTTGTCTCGGGCTAAGTCGTTAAGGGCCTTAATTTCCGAAAATATTTGATCGCTCAAATTTTGTATCTGGTCCAGGTTATTGCATTCAGCTAATTCCATGAATTCAACTATAATTTTATCTCGTGCAATGAAACTGTCTTCTGGTTCGGTTTTGAGTCTTTTGATTGAGGTATGTTCCTGATCCAGTTTACGCTTTTCATTGTTCTCTGAGTTGATACTGTGGCTACTACTGAAAGTCGAAATATCATATTTTTAATATATTCAGTTTCAACTGCAAGCTTGGATAATTTAAAATTCACCTTCTAAACTAATGGAAAAGTCTATATTAAGGAACTACTTGTTGGTGGGTTTGAAAATGTATCAATTATCGCCTATTGGCTAATATATTTGGATAAAGATATCGGTCTTAACTATTTTAAGTAAAGTTCCAGTCAGAACAAGGTACTTCTTCCAAGGTACAGGAAAACAAAATCAAATAAAAATTCTAATTTTCATAAATATTGAATGGTGATAATTAAAATTATGTCAAGGTTACGATTGTAACCTTCAGTTTTCATTTTCGTCCTGTGTGAGTATTTTCAATTAACAGTTGCAAGGCTCAAACGATTCATTCATAATTGCTTAATAAAAGGCAACTATGCCACTAGTATTCTGACCTGTTTTCCTCTTCTTTATCGTTCATTTCATCGTTACTTCGCTTCTCAAATTGCTCCTGTTTGATTACTTCTGAAAGTTCTATTTCGCTTTTGATATCCGCTTTTACTAAGCCATTTGATAGAGTTGCATCCTTTTTAATTTCCTGTAGTGGACTACTGTCTTCCCCTTGCTCAGCATGGCCAGGCGAAGAGGGAGGGTTTGTATCGCATCCCTCCCTTACGTCTTCCATGATCTGCATTTTATTGAGACTGGAAAGAAAAAAAATGCAAAATGCGGTCTTGTAAAGTTCTTAATTTTAATTAGGTTTCTGTCGGATGCGATTAAACTTGTGAATTGTATCTGCATAATATTATTGATTCAGTGAACGACAATTAAAAACATTAATAAGTAGTTGCCTATTAAATTAATTCCCTGCTTCTGTTTATGTTGAATTTCATTGAAGACGATATGATTGATTAATATCCTGCACCCTGACATTTTTGATTTTCAATTTGAATTCCCAAGGCCCATGAACAAGGCTTCTAATTAATTCGTTAAAATACTGGCTAATGTAACATTTTATAGCGCAACTATAATCTAATATTTACAACGTTGCATTTAAATTGCCTTTGACCTAATTATTATCAAAGTACGTAGTCAAGCAATATCATAGAAAACAGTCAAACATAAGCTAAGTAAATAAGCATTGAAAGTACCAGCAAATTTGATTGGCTTAGTTTTGAGATTTGTCCTCGGAATAATTTTCAACTGACCTAGTTTTCATAATAGTTCGTTGCTCTTCTTTATTTTTATGAACCGACAGGATATCAGTATTAATATATTAAGTGTTGTCGTGTTATGTCCTTTCTGTTATCTGGATTTAGGTATTTTGAAACAGATTTCAAGTTGAGAAATTTTCAAAATATAGTCGAAGTCAATATTTACCAAAATTGAAGGACCACTAATGAGTTTAAAGAAATACAGAATTCACGTGCTGTAACCAGATTTTATTAATTTGAGAAAAATGATCACTAAATACACACAATCCATTAGTTAGACCTTTGATTACATTTTTCAAAAATGAAAAAGAACAAAAATGTCAACTCTTCGAAACATTGGAAAACAAGATATAATTTAAGTATCAATTGGGTAATTAGGGTTTACTATATTTTCAAAACATTATGTCTAGTCGAATCATAAATATTTTACGTATTACGTATTTTACGTATTATGTATTGAGCTTAGATTGTATGTATCTGATCTAACATTCGTGGCTTTGTTATGTTTTTTGATTTGTATCATTTCATGGACTCTTTTCTTATGATAATTATTTTCATTGATCAGTATTTTTGTGTTGTCGAAATCAAAATTATGCAACAATTGGTGTGCATGTTGTGCTGATGTTGTTCTATTTTCGTTATTTTTCCTGATGCCATATTTATGTTCGTATATTCTTTTCTTTAAATATTGTGCTGTTTAACCTATGTATGTGTTATCACATTTCAAATAGTCCATTTTGTATACTACCTTAGGTGTGTCTAGTTTATCATTTATTGGTTTAAATTTTGTAAAATATTCATTTGCTAAGTTGTTTTTAGTTTTTTTCTGCTATATTGATATTATGCTTAAAATGAAAGTTTGAAAATATTTATGGTTTTTGACATCACCTTCTTCTCTTTTATTCCGGTTGTTCCAATTACTTGCGTTGTATATTCTTCAATTTATGATCGGTTCGAAAATAAATGACTGAAACCCGGGAATATAATTTATATTAAAATTGGAAATACAGTAGTCAGGAAAACCTACATGATGATTTGGTTTTAAATTGGGCATATTTATTATTATTTGGATTCTATACTCTTCTATACAGGGTGTCCCACCGGTAACCGCCGCGATCGATATGTGGCAAACTATAATTAGGACATATTTGAAAATTGGACAGTGTGTCAAAGTCATTGGAGACAAGCGTTCTAAAATATTTTCAAGGTAGCCTCACTTCTGGTTATACCGGAAGTAAGTATCAACTTGCTTACTTTAAATGGAACACCCTATATATTATTCATTCTACTCCAAATTCTAACTATATTTTGTGTATAATATCCTACACCTAAGTCTAACCGTTTTTGATATATTTGCAGACAATCGAATAATTATTCATTTTTTCCATAAAAAATATGTGCTACTTTATTTGAGCCGCATTTCTTGTTGAAAAAGACTTACTTTAGTAGAATTTTGAGAAAACCGCCAAAAATCAATTTTTTTCATATGGAAATCCGGAAATTTTTGGTCATTTTATCTTAATCAGTATCTATTAAAAATAAGGGTCAGTTTGTGTAAAGTTGTCTATTCCAAAAGTGTTTAGTTTTCTAAATATTGTCAGTTTAATGTTCTCATATGGCTATTTTGTCACATCTTATTTTAAATACTATCACTCTTAGTTGCTACAGTTAATACAATCAAATGCCAAATAAATACTACATCTGTCAGTTACCTTTTGAAAATCATGAATAATCATGAGCAGACGCTCAAATTGTTCAAACGAAGATTATTTAAACTTATTTATTATTTATGGAGAATGTGATAAAGCTATATCAAAAATTCAACATCATTTTGAAATAGTCTATTTTGGGTCAGCGAATATTCAAAATACCCAGACACCCCACTTGAATTCATTTAACATGCGAAAACTACCACCATCGAGCACACCATTCATGAAAAATGTACACTATTTTACTACACATTTCTTAGAATCCGGTTTTCATGCGCATCGACACCGGTTTAGAAGACACCAATGGTCGCGTGGTTTCAAATTCCTCGGGCATCCCTGCTTCCTATTGGTCCAAGTCGGATTCCACGCATTCTGACGAAGGTCTCGCATCGAGGCGTTTCCCATTCCTCGGGTCTCACCGTCTGCAATCGGTTGAACAAAAGTTCCGCGAATTCTTCGGGGTATTATATTAACGTTTTAGATGGGTTTCGGTTAGAGAACTAGATGTGAGATGTCATAGAAGAAATGTCTGAATTTAGCCACGAACAGGGTGTTTTTTCCGTCCAATTCCAAATGCATTTAATAAATTCGCTAATTTTTGTTGAAATTCACGCAAGTAAAAAATTAACTTTGTGTCAATTTGAAGAATTTCGGGAGACCCTAAATTCAAATATTAATCAAGTTGACTACAAACGACAAAATTGCCATTTGAAAACATTAAATTGACAATATTTTGAAAACTACAGACTTTTGGAATAGGCAACCTTACATAAACTTGCCCTTATTTCTATCTAGGTTTGTATTTGAAGAAAAATGATTTTGAGCGGTTTTCTCAACTTTATTTTGAAACTTTCTTTAACACTTTGTATTAAAAGTGATGAAAATGTTGGCGAAATTCCATTAAAGTAAGTGCTTTTCAACAAGAAATGCGATTCAAATTAAAAAGCACGTATTCGCTTATAGGAAAAATGAATAGTTATTCGAGTGGCTGCAATTGTCATTTTTAACATAAAATTTCAAATATATCAAAAACGGTTAGATTTAGGTATAGGATATTGTAACGGAAATGGCCTGGAGTACTCACGTTTGGAATGGGGGATCGAAATTCATGGTATTTCAGTAAATGGGAGCCCCATTTGGGCCCCA